ATGGGACTCATTCAAACTAAAACATTTCTGTCAGAGATAAACAACTTTCACCACTTTTAAGAAATAAAAATAACATAATATTCTGACCATTTGAGAAATTTTCTGAAATTATCATCCTTATGTACTTACCAGCTGTGATGAGTATTACAACTGAAGACAGTAAAATGAACGTCAGGCATCTCCTCATCATCCTCAGCATGATTAACTCAACATTCAGTTCAAGCTTCTCCGCACTGATGATACAGAAGTACAGGCACCCTCTCAGCCTCCTTAATGAGAGAGAAAGAGGTCCAACACCCTCCAATCACACTCGCTATTACCTTATTAGACACAACAGAGGAAATCATCAAACAACTTCAGTGACAAATCAGAGGACGCTTTTCTGATTTTTTCCATATACTGTATATGTACATCAGTGCTGATGAACTCCTCCTCCCCACACATCAAGATGCCTCACTGAGGGGAAGCGCCTGCACACTCACACACACACTCACACTCACACACACACACACACACACACACACACACACACAGAGTGTATACATATATAGAGACTTACAGGAGACAGGAAATTCTCCAGTTTATTTACAGCTTCAAAGCCCAACACCTGCAGAGACGAGATAAAAGCACTGATAACTAACTGTCCTAAAAATGTCCTAAAAAACAGTGTATACAAATGTTAGCATGACATTAGACTCAACTCTCTAAAATTTATAAAATTGTAAAATGACATTAAGAAAATTAAGAAATGAGCATAAAATTGAATGAAACCTTCCGTCTAAACATAATTTCTCTGACTAATATGAAATCTACCTAATTCCACAAAAGTGGCTTTAGATGGCCCACAAAAAACATAATTCTCATTCTGTAAAGACAAGCATGTTGTTCATCTTGTGACCAGTAGAGAGAGTCTGTGTGCTCCATTTCTGCTAAAGCAATCTGTACAACACATTCATCCTTCTATAATGTGGACCAGAGATTTGGCCATCTAGTCAAAGTTCTGTAGGTGAGACTATGCCTCTTAAAGCTACTTTGCAGAAAGTGCAAATACAATGTTTGCCACACTTAAATAAGTGAAAATGAAAATGCCCCTCCTACTTGACAGACAGTGGAGAACTCTCAGGGCACTGGCCTTCTCTGGTAAATAAATAAATAAATAAATACATACATATTTTTCCCCTTTCAGTGACATTTACAAGCAAAGTCTGAACTCCATTCGGTAGAGCTATATGCTGTGCTGATGCCATCTACAGAAAAGCAGTAATGACTTCATCATCGGGTGTGCTCTCTTTTACCATGTTATTTCTAGATTAGCACAAACAAAGAGAATGTCTTCAATTATCAATTTAAGAAAGAAAGTGTTTGAAATAAGGTGGTTTCAGCAGCTATCCAAGAAGCTCTACACTATGGGTTTAATTTAGGTAGGTTTAAAACTACTCTTGTTTGATTTTCAAGCCTTGAATAAAAACTACCACAACATTACAGTACTGTTAAGTTGTAAAGTATTTTTATGGTATAATTGGCCTATGTTTGTTGTCAAAGTGAGCATAATTATCAAATCCCCTATGACTGTCTCCAAGGTGAAGAGAACACGTCACAAAACCTGAATTATATGTGGCGCACCGACACCAGATCCTCAACTCTTCAGCTCTTGACAGGTCAGACCTGTGTTATTATACTGTACTTTCACCAAAACAAAACATACAAACATTGTGAAAATACCCACTCGTTTACCTGTAGCCTCAAAATGTCAAATAATGTACAACATAAATTGATTGGAGGTTTAAAAAACCTGCCAAATGCAACCAGACCACATTACAAGACTTAATTTAATTGAAAATATATGGCAAATTGGAAATAATGGTCAATTTACAACTAACACCAAAGGTTTCACTTAAATAATTAGTGACTGTCTATATTATTTCGACTGCCTACAGCAGCAGCAAACTGATTGGATCAGCATGAGCACAAGGAGACTCTTGATAGGAGGACATGATTTATGAAGAAGAAACTTTTAGCTCATGACTAATTTTATCTGTAACCTATAAAAAGTAACATGCAAGTAATACCATAGATTTAATACCATATCAGATTTGCTTTAATCATATGGGCAAGTAGCCAACAAACCTTTACGTTACTATTACTGCAATCTATTACTTCATCTGTATCCATGAGATTGCAGTAAAAGGCCGTAAATTCCACAGAAAGAAAATTATTACCTATTGTTCACTTTGACACCAGCAAGGGACTGAAATCACACAACTGAAACGTGCTGGATCAGTCTAAACTGACTTAGAAACTTCCGAGGTGGGGTTTTATTTTTCTGCCTGTCTGTCTGTCTAGACAAAAAGAAATCAAAGCATAATGAATGAGTATAACACTTACAAATAAAACCAGCGTGAATAGTCAATAGCCTATAATTTTCCTTTTATATGCTAATTTATGTTAATAGTATCCTCGTCAATTAAACCTATTATAATCTTAATAGAATCAAGTGATAATATTACCTTGATAAAATAGTTTAATAATTTGATGATGATTCAGAGTCGCAGAACACAGGATTTTTTTTTTACATTTATTGCCCCACAAAATGGACATCAGGTCTTGAATGATATCAGCAGGAACCTCATGACTTTGTTGTGTTGTGCCAGGTTGTGAAATTTGTGCAAGAATTTCAAAGCTACAGAGCTACAAATTCTGATGTTACTGTTTTATGCATATTAATGTTTATTATTAATATTATTGAGTGATGAGTGAATACACAGCAACTCACACACCCACCATACACACTTGGTACTACAACGCAAACAAATATATATTTTCAAATCAACCAGCAAGTACACAAACACATCCACAAAGACAAAACACATATCCATCCACTCATCCGCTGCAAGCAACAAAAATACTTAAACAGGTTTTTTCAGACTTTATCTTATCGTCTTATCCTTTTTTACTTCTTATTGCATTGCTCATTGTTACATTATGTTATTTTCGAAATCTTTACCACTGGTTCACATACTGTTTGTTTAAACACTAGTATGGTTAAAATATGAGCACTTTTACATTGCTTCAGTCTTGGTATCCAGTGTAGTGGATATGAAAATTTAAAAAAATTTAATAAAAAAAATGGGTTGGCACAGAGTTGGCCATACGTGGCCTAGTGCGTCTCATTCCCTCGAGAAAAATGTTGGGCAATGAGAGTTGTCTTCTAAGGCAAAGAGGTCGACCTCTGCCTTCCCAAAGACATCCCAGATCATTTGAACCATTTGGGGGTGGAGCCTCCATTCCTCTGGAGACATGCTGCCTCAGAACAACATATCCACTCCCTGGTTCAATTTGTCCAGCATGTGCACTGCCTTCAAGGAGCTCAGGTTGCTCTGTGTTTATGAGGAGGCGCCTCGCCATCTTGTATAGAGCCTGTGACCTGAGACTGTCTTGGCAGTTTTTGAAGGTCACCACTGTCATGTTGTCTGATCAGACAAGGACGTGGTGCCACTTTAGTGAAGTTAGGAAGGTTCTGAACATGCAATATCGTGCATGTTCATTACCGTGATATATCGTATTACCAAATACTGGCACATGTCTAATAACATGTTATTAAAATCAGAAGTTGTAACTATTATTTAATGGACCCCAGGTAACATGAACTAAAAGCAGGATTTTTTAAACAAAGAATAATAACTTCTGTAACAAATGTAGCTATTGCTCATTGTTAATGAAAATGCATTAATTAAGGTTAACTAATGAGACCTTATTGTAAGGTGTTACATATTGTTCTTTACAATTCTTTTGCACTTTAATCTGTTTGAAATATTTGTTTACTTTATATGTGTATTGCTTTATTGTATTTAAATCATGTCCAGTTCTTTGATCTATTAAAAAGTTATCAAACCTGTTATATTATGAGAACACTTTTTTGTAATTTGTGACAAAATACTTTTTGATGTATATGTGCCCTACAGGTTGGGCGAATTAAAAAAACTTCTGTTACTTAGACTTGCTCTAATCAAGATGCATTCGAACCTTTGCTTTAAAGTTTCTATTACTGCATTTCATATGTCTCCACGAGATGGCAATAAAATCCACAGAAAGAAAGTTATTACCTGTTGTTCACTTTGACACCAGCAGGAGACTGAAATCACACAACTGAAAGTAGAGGTCTGCATTCACGCGAGGCTAGAAACAGGCCTGATTGTCAGTCTATAGTACTTTAGACTGCATACTAAAGTTTGAACTTTTTTTCTGTTTAACAATTTTGAGTTAACAGAAAAAAAAACTTAAAAACCTTATTAAAATATTAAAGTCAACAATATATATATATATTTTTTAAAAAAATCTAAATTACAACCACAGCAAAGACAGGCAATGGAATGATTGAGATAATGAAACAGATATTATTAAAAGATTTCAGCTATATTCAGAACAATTCAGGAATCAGGAGTGGTGTAATCAGTAAAAATGCTATTTCATTAAGTATTAATTACACACATATTTGTCATCTTTAGCATCTTTTTGGGTGAGACATGTAATTCTTGCATCCTACCATGCAATTGTATTCTTATGACAGTTGCTTTACACTACAACATAGCCACTGAATAACATTTATGCAAACATCTTATTTTAGGTTGATCATGAATGCTTTCTAACATATATTCAACAAATATTCAGAAACATATTTGTGCAAGTCATTGTAACTATCATTTTTTTTGTCAAAGGAAGACTCTCCTACATTGCAGTTATTTGAAAGGAACAAACAACTTTAAGAAAAGAGGAAATCAAACCATAAATTATTAAGTGTAGAAATACTTAACCCTGGTCCATAGCCTTAATATTTTAACAAAAAATTATAATGTTAACAGTAGTTCTGTTACTCTAGATTTGTGTTCATGGCCATATTTAAGTAGCATATTAAAGAATATTAACAGAATCAAATGCAACTCTTTAAAAACAAAAAAAATCATAAAATGAAATAAACAGAGGCAGTGGGTGTGGCCACTGAGTCATACGGCCACTCCCTCATCGTTTGACTCCTCCCCCACATCATCATAGTCTGCATTCAAAAAAAAGCAAAAAAAATTGTTTAATGTTATGATTGCATCAGTATTCCAAACTTAACTTAATTTAATTTAAATCAGCAAATTACTAATATAATTATTTATAAAATAATGTCTTAAAATAGGCGCTAATGAAGAATGAGGTGTGTCCAAACTTTTGAAAGGCAATTTTATTCTTAATATATAATACTTAATATATTTAATAAATGTAGGAATCATAAGACAAAAGGGTTACCTAACAGGTTTCTCACATCTTCAGTGATACTCCACACATCATCATACTCCTCCTGATCTCCCACTTTACACATGTACAAAAAAATATCATTTTATTTTTTAATACACCTTGATATTGTGTCATGTCATAGACCCCTGTCCCCTCATGACAGATTGTTAGATTACACCTGATAAAGCCATAATGATTAATTAATGGTGTAAACATATTCAATATATCATAGAAACAGATGTAGATTATTAAAAATAAGTTCTGTGTGACTCACCTTTTGCACGAGAGCACTGTCCATTAATGATGAGATCATCATAATTCTCTGGTGTGTCCACTACTCATACACACACACATACAACATTATAAGCTCCTAAATATAACATTAAGCTGATAAAAATAATCATTTAAATAATAACTGGCCTTCACCTTAAAGAAGTAGGGTGTAAAAATTCATGAGCAAAATTATATAAAAATAAAACTACCTTTTTCAGTACCATAGTTCTGTCCACTAGTAATGACATCATAATATCCCTCTGGTGTGTCGTCTACAAATTTAACATGAAACTAATGCCATCACACTTAGAACAAGCTTGAATGTACTGTATATATTAATATGCACATTATAGAATTACAGAAAAAGAAATACAAGTAATGTACAGAAGAGCATCAGCACCTGTCTCACAATCTGGTATCGGCCCACCGGTGAAGATATCCTCATAGATTCCTGGTGTGATCTCATTCACCCTCTCTTCAAAATCAAAATATTATATATAAAGTCATTAATTTCCTGAAATTTCAGAGTTTACATTTATTTACTGAGTTTGTAAATCACCTCTCTAACCTTGTAAGGGTAATTAGTAATGTGCTAGCAATTGAGGAGAAGTATACACTGTGTAGAGACCCTTTGAATCAATACACAGTTATGGTCACATTCTCTCATGATGCCTCACCTCTATGAGTAAATAGATTGAGTCTGTGATAAATTTCCTCATAAACTGGCTCAGTTTGAGACTGAGTCCTGTGTAGTCCTGTGTACCAGTCAGAAAGAGCTGTGTGTAGACAGACAAAACTGCTGTCAGTTCACAACACATGACTGATCACACACTGAATAAGACACAATACACTCTTAAAAATAAAGGTGCTTCAAAAGGTTCTTCAAGCGATGCCACAGAAGAACCATTTTTGGTTCCACAAAGAACCATTCAGTCAAAGGTTCTTTAAAGAACCATCTCTTTCTTTTGTAATCTGAAGAACTTTCTTTCGCCACAAAGAACCTTTTGTGAAACAGAATGGTTCTTCAGATGTTAAAGGTTCTTTATGGAACCATTTAGACAAAAAGGTTCTTCTATGGCATTGTGAAGCACCTTTATTTTTAAGAGTGTATGCCAGTCTCTGGATCTCTCCTACCTCTCCTCATCACTCTGTTCTGCTGAATCAGTATAAGCAGTGGCACTAAGAGCAGTAAGAGCACAACTCCCAGTACAATCACAAGCACTGGAGGGACGGAGAGAGACGCTGCTGGAGGAGTTTGTGGAGGAGCGACTGATGTTGAGCGCACTGGAGGAGAAACTGATGATGTTGTGGTAGTGGACACTGACAAATCTGGCAATGTAAAAAATTCTGAAATTATAATCAGTTGATGCAAATATCTTGAATATACAAATATTTTACACTCTAAAATTATCAAATTCATATTATTCCTCAGTGTTTGTTGTGACCTGCACAGGTGAGTCCAGCGTGCTCTTTGCGGGAGCAGTCAGTGTGGTTATTCAGGGAGAGAAGACAGTCCCACAGGTGAATCTCATTCCCTCTGCACTCGACTCTGTTCAGCCACACAACACCTTCACCAGCAGCAAAGACTGAATTCCCATCAGCCCTCAGTGCTGCTCCACAACCCAGCTGCCTGCAGACCACCTGAGCATCGCTGATGTCCCACTGATCATCACAGACTGAGCCCCACACAGCGTTATGATACACCTCCAGCCTCCCAGAGCACCGGCCCTCCCCTCCACTCAGTCTGAGAGGAAGATGCTCTAAAACACACATATCAACCAGCACTGATCAGCTTCAGCACAATATTCACAACAAAACACGCACAGAGAGTGAAGTTAGAGGTATTTAAAACTGTGATTAATTTAAATGTGGAAAATAAATAATCCAGTATTTAACTGCACATATACAAAATATTTTGTAATCAATGTTAGCAACCTGAACATGCAAAACAAATGACTGGCAGGAAGCACCTCTAATTTTTCTGATTGGTGAAAAAAACACAGCCTGCACCCAGTTTATTCTTTGTGGTTTACAGAGTCACAGAAAAAAGTCTGATTACTCATTATTACCAATATTTTCAAAGATTTGTCAGCTAGTTTTATATGTGGAAAAGGTCATAAATATTTAAACCTATTTGTTGTCAAATAAACTTACTTGAACACTGCCTCTGGTGAGATGATGTTGAACAAGTCAGACGGCTCTGCAGAGACTCGTGAATTTCCTCCTCTGAGATTATAACATGATCACAGTTTAATGAATAAAATAATTTAAAATAATTTATTCAATCTATTTACTAAATTTCATGTAAAAATCAACCTTTACATTTATAGAAATATCAGTAAAATAGTTTAAAATCTTACCAGAGCAGGTGATTTTGGCCACTTCATTATCACAGTCATTCTGTCCCCAGGGTGAAGATGGACACTGCCATAAAGTGGAATCATGTTGTCGACAATTAAGTTTATCAAGCCAATTATGAGGCTTCAGTCCCTCTGAATAACTGGTTTCACTGCTCGATCTTCCACAGTTCAGCTCTTGACAGATCAGACTCGCTGTGTCTCTGTCCATCTGGTTGTAACATAAATTACCCCAGGATCCATTGTAGAAAACCTCCACATTCCCTTCACAGCCATCAGTTAACCTGATCTTTTTAAACTCTAGATGGAAAAGGGAATTTTATTAATTAAAAATTTTTACAATTCTTTTAGCGCTTTTAAGAAATAAATATTGGGAATTGTATTTCACAGTTTGCAGTAATAAGATGCATGTCTTTGATTAACTAAAAATAACTGACTCAGAGTCATTCATTCAGGAATCAGACTAAAATTGTTACATTGTGTGTTTTGCAATGAATAGTCAACAGCAGTGTTGCGCCCCTGAGTAAAGAGATCTTTAATTCCATCTACACTAGAAAAATGCATGTGCATGGACTGTTAACAGGATCACTCCTGAAATTCTTTTAAAAACGCATAAAAGAGTTTTTAACCCTGTTCTTAATGTGTATAATGCAAATACTGTACACTGGATATTGTTAATTAGTCACATACATAGGTTATAGAAATGTTATTGTTTATATTGTTCTTCACTGTTTACCCGAGCACACGACTCCTACATCCTCCTTGTGTTTACAGTCATGTTTTCCCCAGCCTGGAGAAGAGCAGCTCCACAGGGACGTCTCATTCCCCTCACACTCCACCTCATCCAGCCATATGGGTCCAGAACCAGGACCAAACCAGGCTGGTACCTGCTGGTTACTGAGGGCCACTCCACACTGCAGCTGTCTGCACACCACATGAGCATCTTTAATATCCCAAGAATCGTCCCACACTGTCCCCCATGAGCCGCTGTGAAAAACCTCCAGTCTCCCTGCACAGTCTCCCCCAGAACCCACCAGTCTGATGGACCCACGACCTGATATTCAGAGAAAGAAAAACACATTATTGATCACGAACAACTGAAGAATCTGCCCAGATGTTGTTCTTCTCACCAAGGCAGGTGATTGACAGCTGTTGTGTGGAGCTGCAGTTGAGAGTTTGTGGAGAGCTGCAGTTCCCCAGATGAGCTTCACTCCCAGAGCACTGGAAGCCCGTCACACACTCATGACTGTGTTCGGGACTGGATGAAGAGGAGCCGTAGAAGTTCAGCACAGAGCCACAGCCCAGCTGTCGGCAGACCACAGAGGATTCAGTGAGACTCCAGGAGTCGAGCAGAACTCTCCTCCAGACCTGCTGGATGAAAACTTCCACCTCCCCCTCACACTGTCTCTCTCCAGATAACCGCACCAGACCATAATGACGAGCCAGAGAAGAATCTGGAGGGAAGATTTAATGTTGAACAAAGTATTGTCATTACAGGTTACAGAAATGGTACTGCTAATTTTTTTTTTTCAGTATAAGCATTCATGACTCTCTTGATTAAATAAGTTTACCAGAGCAAATGACTCCAACAGCTCGTCTATGAGAACATTCCGCTCGACTCCATGAAGAGATGGAACATTCTGAGAGTTTTGTTTCATTCCCGTCACAATCAAACACATCAGCCCAGATTTCAGCACTTCCCTCTCCAAACCAGTCTGATCCCACAACAGACACAGCAATCCCACAATTCAGCTGTCTACAGAGGACACTGGCAGCTCTCATATCCCAGCATGCATCACACACTGTGCCCCATTTACTGCTATATTGAAGCTCCACTCTTCCAGAACAGGAGTCTGAACTGTTTACCAGCCTGAGATCTGTGTAACCTGGACAAAACATGAGAATTATTTTAAACAGTATAAAACAAGAGACAAGTGAATAGATCAGTAAAACTCTGCTAGCATAACACAAACAGTGCTGTTACTTTTAAAATGTTTAATTAAATCCCCAAAATAGCAACTAATCATGTTAAATTTATGAAAAAGTAAGTTACTTTACTTTTGCAATATAGACTTGCTAAAGTTCTGTTGTGTTTGTCTCAAATTGGAATCAGTTTCTCCTAGTTTATAAATACTGGTTGTTGATAATGGCATGGTATTGTTTGAAATCTTGTATAATTAGTTAGCAAATTAATGCTCAATTCGGTCAGGTTATGTTTGACAACAGTGCAAGTGACACATATTTAGTAACTAAAAACACAATACAGAATAAACCATGCACGTTCTGTCTAGTGTGTTTTTGCACATTTTAGTGTATTGTTGTCTGCATGACAACATGAAGAAGAGAGAATTTCAGTAACGTAAAAAAGTATATTTGTAATCAATTAATTGAAAAGTAACTTAACTTAGATATAATGGTGTGCATAAAAAAGTAATGCATACTTTTTACTTCTGAAAATTCAGATTACGTAAATTGCATTACCTCCCATATGCACACACACACACACACAAATACATGGAAAATATACTCAACCAGAACATATAACTCCAAGATCATTGTCATGGGAACAGTTGTTTTTGCTTAAAGATGTATGTGGACAAAAATATATATGAGATTAGTTTCCTCTGCACTGAATCTCTTGTGTCCACATCTGAGCGTCTCCTTTGCCAAAAGCAGCTGCTCCCAGCACCTGTACAGGAGCCCCACAGTTCAGCTCTCTACACACAACCTCTGCATTCTGCTGGTCAAAGGCAGCATCACACACTGTGTGCCATGTGTTCCCATGAACCACCTCTATTCTCCCAGAGCAAAGGTGAGATCCGTTAATAAGTCTGGAATGTTTATGATCTGTTCATATTAAATAAAAGCACACAAAATAGATTTATGCAGAGTGGCAATTTTAAGAGTATATTTAATACTCACAAAATTTGAATAAACATATTTTTAGTTTTATGAAATTGTGCCAATCTGTAGAGCAATGACAAAATCAACATTGCATCAGGATATATTTTTGCCCAAAAACATTACATGATATTAAATTACCAAAATAAAAAGAGCAAAATTCACTAATCAATTGCACCCTCCCAAAGCACCATTTACTTGCACACACAAACATGCACACAAAATCTTGCTGAACACAATTTGCGCAGCACTGTTGGGTCAGTTCTGAGTGCTGTATTGTGGAGGATGCAGTGGACCATCACTGGAACCTGACTGACTCTGCTGGTACTGCACAGCACTGTCCAATCACAGAGATCACCAAAAAAAGACCCTTTTAAATAAATGTTAATTTAACCACTTAATTCACATAATAAGCCCTATTTAGATAGAAAGTATGTGTGTTTGTGTACTCCCAAATGTTTTGAAGATTAATCTCATTCACCTGAACAAATGACTCCAACATCTTGACGATGATCACAGACAGGTTTACCCCATCCTGCTGATCCACAGTTCTTCAGTGTGGACTCTGATCCAGTACACATGACAGTACTCAGCCAGATTGGTCCTGATCCTTGTCCAAAATGAGCATCACCCAGAACATCTACAGGTTCTCCACAGTCCAGCTCTCTACACACCACTGCAGCATCAGCCATATCCCAGAAATGCTCACACACTGTTCCCCACTGACCTCTATGAAGAACCTCCACTCTACCAGCACAGCGACTGTGACCACCAACCAGCCTCACATTTACAAGGTCTGTATATTGAACAAAGAGAATGAAACAAAGAAATACTGAAGGACAGAAAGAAAGAAAAGTTCTTCAGAAAAATGACAAAAAAAACCTTACAAAATACAAAAATGATTTTAATAAATAATTCTAACCTGCACACACCAGTCCAACATCACTGTCATGAGAACAGTTGCTTTCATGTGATGGTGATGTTGGACAGAGGTGAATCTGAGATTCGTCTCCTCTGCACTGAATCTCTTGTGTCCACATCTGAGTGTCTCCTTTATCAAAAGCAGCAGCTCCCAGCACCTGTACAGGTGCCCCACAGTCCAGCTCTCTACACACAACCTCTGCATTCTGCTGGTCAAAGGCAGCGTCACACACTGACATCCACGTCTGATTATGAAGGATCTCTAACCTCCCAGAGCAGCGATAACCTCCAACCAGCCTGACTCCTGACAAATTAAAGAAAAATAAACATTGTTAACACTTCATAATAAGGTTCGATTTGTTAACATCAGGTAATGAATTAGGTATCATGACCTAATAAAGAACAAAAATGTTAAGTTATAAAGTTAATGTTAATAAATATACTATTGTTTATTTTAGTTCAGGCTTGTTCATTATAATACATAATGTTAATTTATACAAACTGCTATGTTAAAATTGTATGTGTAGAAAACATTGACCTAGATTTATAAATGTTGTAGACATATGAGTCGTTCTAACAAATTTAACTTCATTGTAATGTGTTATCAAATATCAAATATATGTAAGATGCTTATATTAGACCTGGACATTATTTTTTTTGTCATGAAAAAATACTAGTAAATTTTTTAACAACATAATTCTTGACATTATTGGTCAACCAATAACAGTTATTGGTAACACTTTATTTTAGGGTCTCTTAACTAGTTGTTATTAGCATGCATATTACTAGAATACTAGCCATTTATTAGTACTAATTAAGCACATATTAATGCCTTATTCTACATCCCTAATCCTACACAACACCTAAACTTAACAACTACCTTACTAACTATTAATAAGCAGCAAATTAGGAATTTATTGAGAGAAAAGTCGTAGTTAATAGTGAATAAGTGTTCCCTATTCTAAAGTGTTACTGAATTATTAATGAATTTAAAAGTAAAAAAAAAAAAAAATACATTTGAAATGTTTGAACTAAACAGTTAAAATAAATCCGCATTTTAATGAGAGGTTGATTTGAGGCAGGTTGTTCATTACTGAGGACAGGTTTGAAGCAGTTTACCTGAGCAGATGACTCCAGCATCTCCAATAGGATCACAGCCTTGCCCACCTTGTCCTAATGAACCACAGTTCTTCAGTGTGGACTCTGATCCAGTACACATGGCAAAATTTGTCCAGATTGGTCCTGATCCTTGTCCAAAATGAGCACCACCCAGAGCATCTACAGGTTCTCCACAGTCCAGCTCTCTACACACCACTGCAGCATCAGCCAAATCCCAGAAATCACCACACACTGTTCCCCACTGACCTCTATGAAGAACCTCCACTCTACCAGCACAGCGACTGTGACCACCAACGAGCCTCACATTTACAAGGTCTGTATATTGAACAAAGAGAATGAAACAAAGAACTACTGAAGGACAGAAAGAAAGAAAAGTTGAGATGGCAAAATGACTCAAAATGACAACAACAAAAAAACTTACAAAATACAAAAATTATTTTACTCAATTAAAGGAAATTAATTCCAACCTGCGTACACCAGTCCAACATCATTATCATGTGAACAGTTGTATTTGTGTGGCAGTGATGTTGGACAGAGGTGAATCTGAGATTCATCTCCTCTGCACTGAATCTCTTGTGTCCACATCTGAGTGTCTCCTTTATCAAAAGCAGCAGCTCCCAGCACCTGTACAGGTGCCCCACAGTCCAGCTCTCTACACACAACCTCTGCATTCTGCTGGTCAAAGGCAGCGTCACACACTGACATCCACGTCTGATTATGAAGGATCTCTAACCTCCCAGAGCAGCGAAAACCTCCAACCAGCCTGACTCCTGAACAATGAAAGAAAAAGAATCATTGTTAACACTTTATAATAAGGTTCAATTTGTTAACATCAGGTAATGGATTAGGTATCATGACCTAATAAAGAACAGAAATGTTAAGTTATAAAGTTAATGTTAATAAATATACTATTGTTTATTTTAGTTCAGGCTTGTTCATTATAATACATAATGTTAATTTATACAAACTGCTATGTTAATATTGTATGTGTAAAAAACATTGACCTAGATTTATAAATGTTGTAGACATGAGTCTTTCTAACAAATTTAACTTCATTGTAATGTGTTATCAAATATCAAATATATGTAAGATGCTTATATTAGACCTGGACATTATTTTTTTTTATAGGTAACACTTTATTTGAGGGTCTCTTAACTAGCTGTTATTAGCATGCATATTACTAGAATATTAGCCATTTATTAGTACTAATTAAGCACATATTAATGCCTTATTCTACACGACCTTATTCTACATCCCTAATCCAACCCAACACCTAAACTTAACAACTACCTTACTTACTATTAATAAGCAGCAAATTAGGAATTTATTGAGCGAAAAGTTAATAGTGAATAAGTGTTCCCTATTCTAAAGTGTTACCGGATTATTAGTTAATTTAAAAAGAAAAAAAATTAAATTGGAAATTTTTGAACTAAACAGTTAAAATAAATCCACATTTTAATGAGAGGTTGATTTGAGGCAGGTTGTTCATTACTGAGGACAGGTTTGAAGCAGTTTACCTGAGCAGATGACTCCAGCATCTCCAATAGGATCACAGCCTTGCCCACCTTGTCCTAATGAACCACAGTTCTTCAGTGTGGACTCTGATCCAGTACACATGGCAAAATTTGTCCAGATTGGTCCTGATCCTTGTCCAAAATGAGCACCACCCAGAGCATCTACAGGTTCTCCACAGTCCAGTTCTCTACACACCACTGCAGCATCAGCCAAATCCCAACCAGCACCACACACTGTTCCCCACTGACCTCTGTGAAGAACCTCCACTCTACCAGCACAGTGACTGCTACCATTTAGCAGTCTCACTTTCACATGTTCTAAATATTGAACAGAGAGAATGACAGCTGAAGATACAGTAGAGGACAGAGACAAATAAATATTGAAATTGTGAAGAAACACAGACATAAAAAATACTGCATTTATAAAAATGCTTTTTCTTTTACTTAAAGTAAAACATTTATACCAACCTGTACACATTAGTCCAACACCATAGTCATGAGAACAGTCGTTTTCACGTGATGGTGATGTTGGACAGAGGTGAATCTGAGACTCATTTCCTCTGCACTGAATCTCTTGTGTCCACATCTGAGCGTCTCCTTTATCAAAAGCAGCTGCTCCCAGCACCTGTACAGGAGCCCCACAGTCCAGCTCTCTACACACAACCTCTGCATCCTGCTGGTCAAAGGCAGCGTCACACACTGACATCCACGTCTGATTATGAAGGATCTCTAACCTCCCAGAGCAGCGAGAACCTCCAAGCAGCCTGACTTCTGAAACAACACGGATCATTTAAATAGTTGTTAACACCAGCAGCAATAATAACAGTAGATTTATAGAAAAAATATTCCTTAAATTTAGATTTCTTAGAGATATATTTTATAAATAAATAATTTTTTAGCAAAACATTTACAGTACAGTATTTACATTTACAGAAATTTCTGATAATTTCATAGCAAAGAAAAACACTCATCACACATACACGAGTGGAATTCTTATCACTCAGACAAAAAACATTTAGGGAGAAAAACACTACAAAAAGCACTAGCTAATGCTTTTTAACTAAGACACAGAAAAAACGTTAAGGAGTTGAAACTTTTTGTAGAGTTAATTAACAATTTTCAGTACACAAGGAAGAGATGTACAGATGTTACATCTGATACAGAGGTTTTTTTTTTTTTTTGGTATACATGTACAACCTAAAAAAAATATTAGAGTTTATTAGACTTTAAAATCAGAGAAAAATATTAGAGAGTGATGTAGTAATTTGGAACAGCTCACCTGAGCAGATGACTCCAGAAACTTTAGAATGAAGACAACGAGATTTACCCCATCCTGATGAGCCACAGTTTTTCAGCGTAGACTCTGATCCAGTACACATGACAGTACTCATCCAGATCGGTCCTGTTCCTGATCCAAAATGAGCACCACCCAGAGCATCTACAGGTTCTCCACAGTCCAGCTCTCTACACACCACTGCAGCATCAACCAAATCCCAACCAGCACCACACACTGTTCCCCACTGACCTCTATGAAGAACCTCCACTCTACCAGCACAGCGACTGTGACCACCAACCAACCTCACATTTACACGGTCTGTTAATTTAATAGATGAATAACAGATTAATTGAAAAATGGTATGAACAAGATTGGCGGGGGGGGGGAAAGAGGGAGAAAAAAAGGGAAAAAATACAGCTCTAATAAATATATTAATAAATGGTCAAAATGTACTGTAGATAATGTGTGACAGTCAGCAGCAGCATAATATAATTGCTTAGTGTTTCATTTGAGATTATTTTACTCCTTGATTCAAAGTATAAACCTACCAGAGGTGATGAGTTTTATCAGAAGCATCAGCATTAGACAGGTCTTCATCTTCTCCATCTGCTCAACTATTTCATCAGCTCAAAATGCAACACAAGTTTCTCCGCAGCTCCCTCAAACACTCTGAAGAAACTGGCTCCTGTCAGCCCCCTAAAGAGAGAGTGTGTGCCAAAACTTTCCAATCAAGATCATCATTACCTTATTAGAAACAACAGAGGAACTCATCAAACAACTTCACTGACAAATCAGAGGAGACATTTCTGATTTTCACCATATATATCAATAGAACGTCAGCGCTGAAAAGGACGACTCCTCCTCCATATAAAGACTTTTCAGTGAGGATGCGCACACACATCTGCCAGAGGCAAAAATAGTCACACATCATACAGGAGACACTAAAGATTTCAGAGAGAGGAAGCACTCCAGGATATTTACAGCATCAACACCTGCTGAGATACAGAGACTGATAAAGGCTCACTTCAAACTTCATATCATCCTATTTTCCTCTTACAAATAAATACAGTAAAATTCCTTAAATTGTGACACCGAGCAAATAAAAACTTCTTATTCAATTTTCTCAACTGCATTTATTTGATCAAAAATACAGAAAAAAAAACAGTAATCTTGCAAAATGTTATTACTGTCACACTCCTGAGGAGCGGGGATCGAGGAGGCGAGGAGACGTGGGAATAAACTTAAACAAACTGTCAATAAAGAATAACAATTTGGTCCCTCAGTAAATTCTCTTTGCCACCTTGAAGTTTTCTCAGTCTCCTTAAAGTGTAAATACGGCCGGGAAGTAAGAAAACACACATTCAAATGTATCCTCAATACTTCAATTTATTCATAGAAATACAGATATTATATAGGCATATGTCGAGGGGAGTTTCATCCTCTTAACCAATGAGGATATGAATAACATACACGTAGGATCTTTGGCCAAGAACATGTGTTTATATAAAATAGCCACATGTACAGAAAAACATGGACATATTAGGAATAGACTTTTGCGAAGAATGCTGAACTGTCTTCATGGTTTCATCACGAACTCCTTTACCCTTGTAGTCATAACATTCATGTCTTTATTGGGGCCTTTAAATCAAGAGAAGCTAATGTATACATTTAAGCATGCATACTTCACATATAAGTAAGACATATTTAAAACATAATATCAAGAGAGAGATGGATATAGAAGGAGGGATTCAGAAAGAATGCGTTGTATATATAAGAATGAGAGAGAGGGAGAAAGAGGAGGGGTAAGACATGTCTGGACTCAACAGAGAGACAGAGAGTGTTTTCTAACACAAACAGACTTTAATTAACCAAGAAACAGGGAACACAGGGAACGCATGAGACTCAAAATGACGTTAGACACTGAACACTAGACACAGGAAACACTGGGCTTAAGTAAGCTGAACATAACAAGGATGATTAGGGGAACACAGGTGAATCAAATGGAACTCAATCAACACGAGGAGAAACTGGGTCACGGGGAGCACATGGGTAGCAAAACACAACAACACAGGAACACAAAGACAGCCAATAGGCGTGACATTACCTCCTCCTCCCAGAAGGCGCGTCCAAGCGCCTCATAACTTCCAACGGGAAGGGGGGGGTGGGCGCTCTGTAGGCCTCCAGGGCGGACATGATCCTTAAGAAATCATTCTAATATGCTGATTTATTATTAGAATTATCAATGTTGGCAACAGTTGTGCTGCCAAATATTTTTTGGGAAACTGTGATACTTTTTTCAGGATTCTTTGATGAATAAAAATAGCTTTCTTTTAACAGCATTTATTTAAAATCTTTTCTGACAATATAAATCTTTGCTATCACTTCTGATCAATTTAGCTGAATAAAAGTTTTAATTTCTTTCAAAAAAAGAAAGAATAAAAATGTACTGACCCCAAAATTTTGAACTGTAGTGTATATTGTTAGAAAAGATTTCTATTTTAAATAAATGCTCTTCTCTTTAACTTTTTATTCATCAAAGAATCCTGAAAAAAAGTATCACAGGTTCCAAAAAAATATTAAGCAGCACAACGGTTTCCAGCACTGATAATAAATCAGCATATTAGAATGATTTCTGAAGGAAAATATCACAGGTTCAAAAAAAATATTAAGCAGCACAACGGTTTCCAGCACTGATAATAAATCAGCATATTAGAATGATTTCTGAAGGATCATGTGACTCTGAAGACTGGAGTAATGATGCTGAAAATTTACCTTTGCATCACAGGAATAAATTAGATTTTAATGTATATTAAAAAAGAAAAAAATTTATTTTACATCCTGTATTTTTGATCAAATAAATGCAGCCTTGATGAGCATAAAAAACTCCTGTAAAAAACATAAAAAATCGTTCTGATCCCAAACGTTTGACCGGTAGTGTATTTATTATATATATATAAATACACATACATGCATGTGTATATTTAAGATTTTTTTTTTTATTTAAAAAATAAAATATATTTATACATAATATAAATGATATGAATATAAATATATACATGCAAATATTTAGAAAATATATACTGTATGTGCGTGTATTTATATATACATAATAAATATTCACAGTACACTTTTAAACTGACTTTTAAAACACTTTATTAAAACATCTAAAAACAAACACTACATTATACCCCACACATATCCCATTGCAATGTGTTCAGGAGGTATATAAGAAAATAATAATAAAAATAATAATTTCAAATAATAATGATAAATAATAATAATTAGAGAGAAATTTATAAATAACTACATAATTCCCAAACTCACAAATTTCAGAAATTTACAATCTTGTTTCCCATTCTGGCATTATTATTTATTATTATTATATATGAATTATGATGATGATCATCATTATTATTATGTGATTATATGATTATTATTGTCCATTCAATTTTAATGTTTATTGTTAGAAAACACAAATCCATGTCTTACTGTAAAAATAACAGCGCATGGGCTTCTGCGTTGAAAGTAGCAATGCGTTACTCAATCAAACGATGGCACAAAAATAAATAAAATTCTAAAGACAAGCGGCAACTCCGGCAATTTCGTACTGCAATGCGTTAGTCTTCCAATAGATGAGAGCAAAACACTTATTCCAGAAACGAGCTGAAAAGTGTCTTGTGCTTGTGTTAGGACAGGAGAGAGCCTCTCAATATTAACACTTACAAATTGCACTCAATTATCTTTTTCTGATCAAACATACATTTTTATTGTGGAAAAATGTTTTGGTAAAAAAGCCTGAAATTAAACAAAGAAACATAATAGTGCTTCATAATAGATTGAGATCTGAGAGATGCAAGATACTGAGAATTTATTATTATTAACCATTGTAGGAGACAAACAGCTGATTTATAAACAATAAATTAAGAGGAGGCATTTTATATATCAGCATAGTGACAATCAACCTGTCATTAAAGTCATTAAAGAAAAATAAGAGAGACCTAAGTTAGTATGAGTTACAGATGACATGTTTAGCCTTTTAAGACATGAAAAATATAAGTGCATGAAAAATAATAATCATCACTGAAATCCATCCAGGTCAGTGAATACAATACAGCAGGTTGCAAACACCATCTCTCGGGTGTGTTTGTGCACTTTACTATTTTCTTAACCTCCTAGGGGTTTTTACTGTCCAAAGCAGAACTTCACAGAGGCTCCATCTTCATTGCCTAGTGTTAACCAATTCCACCAACATCTGTTCATAAGCACTGAATCAGCAGAAAATTCCAGCTCAAAATCAAATCAGACGTCCACAGATGAAATAATCAGCACATGTTCCAGCAGCAGATCACGTCCCGGAGGCTCGTAGTGTCATGAGCTGGGTTTGCTTCTCTGTTTCTCTCTCACACACACGGGATTTCACACACACATAC